CCTGCTTTCTAGGCAAGATCTGTGGTATCGTCAGCACCATCTCTGGTGTAATTTCAAACCCAAATCACAATAGGAGGCAACACAGCAGAGACTCAGAGGAGAGGAGAACGGAGTGAATGGGAAGAAAGAACAGAACCAAAAAAAAGACGCTGGTGCTCATCTCGCGGCCACAATGACACCATCTGACCCAGGTCACGCTGGCTGGAGGCTGGTCGGGTTTCTACAGAGGCTGAAAGCAGCACACATTCATCTCAGTCTAGAAACAGGAGCAGACATAAAGGGAGAGGTGGGATCCTCTCCAACACGAAGAACCAGTGATCGGGAATAGAAACAGGGACACAACTCCCCGGCAAGATCTCAAATCCACAGAAGCCCCAAACTAAACAAACTCTGAGGGAGACACTTTTCTCCAAGCGACAGCTGAGATCAGCCTCTCTCTCAGCCAAGGAGAGCACCATCTTCGACTGAGAAATTAGAAGAAAAACAAAAGGAAGGATTTAACCCTCCTGCACACAAGAAGCCTGCCAGCCTGCATGTTCAAAGAGGGTTCAGACTGGAACGAACTGTGCAAAAGGCAAACACTGGAAGAAGTATTTTCTATTTTCTAAGCCACCAAAGGTTAAGGAGTCATGTGTGCTAAGCATGTGCTAAGCATGTGCTAAGCATGTAATTGGTCATGCCCGGCTGTCAACTCGGCAGTGTGCGTACCCTGCCTGTGTGCTCCGGATAAAGGGGTTGCCTGACCCTGCGGGATGACTCTGGGTCTGTTTAACAAGGTCTGTGAGAAAGGCCCTGGCTAAGGTAGCCCGTGAGTCACAGCCAAACTGAAAAGGTGTGTTTTGTGTACAGGCCACGCACACAGAGACGAAACGCCTGACCCGGCACCGTCTGACCTGATGCAGCCAGGCACAGATGAGCACTTCTTGTTCGGACACACAAACTGTCTGGGACGGCGCTCCAAGAATGTGAAGCTGTTAAGGCCTCACCCAACTTCCAGTGAAGAAATCATTATCTTGAATTGTTTCAAGTTATAAACTGTTTAACTAAAGTCATTTAACACACTGAAAACACTATCAGTTGAAGGTAACAGCACCACTTGGCGAAATGAAAGCTGCTTGGATCAGGACAGATTAGAGTGGCTTTTGTTTCACCAGAGTCACCTTCGCCCTGATTCCCTGGGACTTTATTCCAAAGCGCTGGCCACCAACCTGCAAAGGAGCGGCGCCTGGCGTTGAGCTCGTTGGCCACACGGACCTCGGTGCACAGCTTCAGCATCAGCAGCATGGTCAGGATCATGATGGCGCTCTGCCACAGCAGTGGCGACTCAAAGCGCCTTCCAAACCTGCGGGAGAGACGCTGTGTCAGGAGAGGGCCCACCCATGCCACCTCTCCCAGTCCCGAACTTGCAGCGGGAGACCCATGTCAGGAGGGAGGCCCACCCACGCTGCCCCTCCCAGTCCTGAACCTGCAGCAGGAGAGACCCTGTGTCAGGCCCACCCACGCCGCCTCTCCCTGTCCCGAACCTGCAGCGGGAGACACCTGGGTCAGGAGGGAGGCCCACCCACGCTGCCTCTCCTGGTCCCGAACCTGCAGCAGGAAAGACCTGGGTCAGGAGAGAGGCCCACCCACGCCGCCTCTCCCTGTCCCGAACCTGCAGCGGGAGACACCTGGGTCAGGAGGGAGGCCCACCCACGCTGCCTTTCCGTCCCGAACCGCAGCGGGAAAGACCCGGGTCAGGAGAGAGGACCATCCACTCTACCTCTCCCAGGCCCCAAGCGGCATCCCGGGGAAGGAGCCCGGTTGGTGAACACCAGAGTGACCAGGCAACTGTTGCCCATCTCCCAGACTCCAGGTGGGGTGCGGCTCCAGTGAGGGGCCATAAGACCCCCACACAGCCTGACTTGGGACCCCTCAGCACATCTGGCCCTCCCCAGAACCAGTGGCCCAGGCACTGGTACCCGGGTCTGGTGGTCCTGAGTCCCCCTCCCACAGCTCAGCTCAGGTGCCCCAGGCCCTCCCTGCAGCCTCGGGGCTGCCACCAGGCAAGAAGCCCAGTTTCTAGCTCACAGCAGCCCTGCTTCCTGCCTGTGGAAGGCTGGGTCAGTGTGCAGAGCAGCAGGTGGGCCAGACACGGAATTTCCACATGCACACACACTCCCACAGGAGAGGAGAAGGCAGCTGAGGGTCTGTACCACCCCCGCCCCCAGGCCTCCCTGGCCCCGTGCTCCCCTAGCTGCAGGCTCCCAGGCCTTCTTGCTGACTTTTGACCAGGGTTGAGCATGTCATCAGCTCAGCCATGAGCCTCTGCAGGGCAGAACCACAGGCCAATGACTGGCAGGCCCTATGGTCTCCCCATCTGCCAGAGTCACCACAGAGCTGGGACACGGGCCTGCAGAGCCACCATCTCCAAGGCTGGGCTGTGTGTGGCATGCACTCATGGAAAGACCCAGCCCTGACCCTCCCTGACTGTCCCAGGGCAGGAATCTCAATCAGCCTGCAGTTTGGACTGAAGGGAATTTTCTTTTTTTTTTTTGAGACGGAGTCTCGCTCTGTTGCCCAGGCTAGAGTGCAGTGGCCGGATCTCAGCTCACTGCAGGCTCCGCCTCCCGGGTTTACGCCATTCTCCTTTTTTGTATTTTTTTAGTAGAGACGGGGTTTCACCGTGTTAGCCAGGATGGTCTCGATCACCTGACCTCGTGATCCGCCTGTCTCGGCCTCCCACAGTGCTGGGATTACAGGCTTGAGCCACCGCGCCCGGCCCTGAAGGGAATTTTCAATACTTGAATTGGCCGCCACCATGTCAAAGTCAGGAGATCCTACATAACAGCCTAATTTCCCAACTTCTGAAAAACTGGAAGACTCAGCAACAACCACCACAGCCCCCACCTCTCTCTAGCTCTCACGAAGCTGGGCAGCCCTCTTAACACCCTCTTACCAACACAAAGCAGAAGGGGGAACCCCAGAGCCCCCTTAGCACCCCCTTATCAACACACAACAGGAGTAGGGGGAACCCCGCAGCCCCCTTAGCAGGTGAGCCAGCCCAGCAGGTGAGAAGGTGCCACTTGCAGGTGAGGCTCCCACAGCAACCTGGAAAGAGCCACAGACATTCTCCTGGGAGGACAGGGAGCCAGGATGCAGTCCTCAGAGGGTGGCCATGCTGATTCCCTCTGTGCTGGCTCCACAGACCAAGGCCCTTCCTTCCCTGTCTCCTGGGAGCTCCTCAGCAGAGGGAGTGGCTGCCTGAGGTCAGAGAGACTCGGGGAGCAGAGGGAAGGGTAGAGAAAACAGCAGCCCAGGCCCAGGGTGGACAGGAGGCCAGGCAGGCAGGCAGACAAGCTGCACCTCCAGGAATATCACCCAGGTCAGCAGGGGCCACCACGGTCCCCTTGCCTCACTGGATGCTTCCCTAGGAAGCCTCCAAGAAACGCACAAGGCGAGAAAAAGAGGCAAAGGGAGGAAGGGAGGGTGGTGGGCCCGGGGATAGAGGATGGCCAGCGGGAAAGAGGCAGCTTGAAAGGGGGTTTTCTGGGCCTGAGGCACAGGTCGGGGGAGCAGGGACGCTGTATGAGCAGGAGTGCAGGGCGCATGGGCACTCTGCCCACAGGCTGGTTCCAGCCCCTACACCGGCCCCCTCCAGGCCTTGGCCTCTGCACTGTTACAGTATATTATACAGCATAGATCGCAACCCCCAAGGCTGGAGAATACAGCCAAGCTCACAGTCACTTCCAGGGTCGTTCTCCACTGGCTACCAAGTGGCCTGGGTGCCGGTCAACTCACCCACAGCGACCTGAGGCTGAGGAGGTGACACTGGGCAGGCATCTAAAATAGGCCAGTGCCCTGGGACACATGGAGGCTGCTTCACACCACGTTCACCTCCAGCAATGAGGCTGCATGTGAGCCATTTTGGCCACTCTGCATGAAAGGCCACCTGCGTTTTTTAAATGTTCAACAGACGCAATGAATGACCAGACAGACAAAGGAGGAGGCGAGCGAATCAAGGTTTGAGCTTCCCCATAATCCACACATCAAAAATCAAATCTAGAGGAACTCGATATGCACAGCAAAGAATAAGGACCTTTGAAACCAAGTGAGAGGGTACCCGGAGGTGAACAGTGAACTAATAGGGTGAAGACAAAGAAAAACACAAAATTTCAAAAAGCACAGTGTTCCACAGAAGATGCACAAGTAACAAAACGAAAACGAAACAAAATCCAGCGGCATTAGTAATTTTAAAAGCTAATTAAGGCTGGGCGCGGTGGCTCAAGCCTGTAATCCCAGCACTTTGGGAGGCCGAGACAGGCGGATCACGAGGTCAGGAGATCGAGACCATCTTGGCTAACACGGTGAAACCCCGTCTCTACTAAAAAATACAAAAAAACTAGCCGGGCGAGGTGGCGGGCGCCTGTAGTCCCAGCTACTCGGGAGGCTGAGGCAGGAGAATGGCGTGAACCCG